ACGCGAACATGTCTGTGGAGTATGGGGGGCCAAGCGAGCAACCCGCTGAAATCTCCATAGCCCGGGCTTGAACGGGCGAGCGTGCCACCCCCTGACGTCTCTAGCCGCGCTGGTCGGCTATCGGACGAGCCTGCCTGCAGCGATCAGGCGATCGGGCGGGCGACGAAGGCGACAACGCAGTGAACCACAGAAGCCAACCGCGAACCACAGAACCGAACCGACCGAGGGAGAACCGACGGAACCGGAACCCGTCAGAAACCCGACGTGAACCGAAACCAAACCGAACCAAAGGCGGTGGAACCGAACCGGGCCCGAACCGGGAACCGGTCGTGGAGGTGGACCCTTGGGAACTGCCCGATGCGAGCGCCCACTCGTGCGCTAGGTCCATCCCGCCCGCTCCCAACTCCTCCCCTACGTCCCCGAGATCCCTCGTCCTGTTTCGCTGCTTGTCCAGGGCCGAACTGGGGACGGAAAGGCGGCGGAAAAGCTCAAATCGCATTTTTGGACGGTTCGAAAATGCGTTTTGGGCCTCCAGGTGGTTTTCGGAGCCTCCAAGGCTGCTCTAGGGATGGCAAGGCGGCGGATAGGCTCAAATTCCATTGTTGGACGGTTCGATAATGCGTTTTGGGCCTCCAGGTGGTTTTCGGAGCCTCCAGGGCTGCACTGGGGACGGAAGGGCGGCGGAAAAGCTCAAATCGCATTTGTGGACGGTTCGAAAATGCGCTTTGGGCTTCCAGGGGTCCTCGGGGCCTCCAAGGCCGAACTGGCGACGGCGGCCGGGGCTAAACCCCCACCATCCTGCGCGCGCCCGGTGAAGGCGCGAGCGGCGCCCTTGCATTCCCAGTTGTCCTTCGGGATAACCCGTGCCAGGAGTGAGTGGTCCGAACTGTCCCAGACCGTAGTCCAAGCGTTTTCTATCCTGGCGCTGAGGAATCGCCCGCTGTCGCCAGAGCCCCCTGGTCCAGGGGGCACGATGCTGTCGACGGGTCCGTCGAGGGCACCATTCGTAACGTCTGGGCCCAGTGGCTCCCCTGGCTCGTCGGGTAGCTGGGCCCAGTGGCTCCCCTGGCCCCAAGGTTCCTCCTGACTCCTGGTTGAACTGAACCTCCAAACGCCTCCATATGATCATGTAGACGCACACGCGCACACGTCATCTGCAAGAACCGAGAACCGAAATCGAACTGGCTGAAACGGAACCGCACTCTGAATGGGAACCGCCTCAAACAGCTCCGAAACCGGAACCGTATTGAACCGAACCAATGTCCCCCGAACCGAAACGAACCGAACGGAACCGGGGACACGCTGACAATGGCGTCCGCCCTGAGCAGTTTGCCATTTCCCTCGGGGGTTCGACCCGCCTCCTCGGGCCCAGGAGGACAGGGGTAGCCCCTGTTCATTTTCACGTTTAGGCGATCAGGCGGGCGACGAGAAGAAGGTGACGAGGATCAGGACGAGGGGGAGGACGATGGGGGAGGGCGGTGCAGGAGGAGGAGGAGGAGGAGGAGGAGGAGGAGGAGGAGGAGGGGGAGGAGCAAGAGGAGTCAAGATAACCGGCGCTCAAACGCGTCAGAGCGCCCCGCCCATTGCCACCCTCATTCCCACAGGATAAGACTCGATGCTGGGGCAAGCGGACGCTGGAGCTCGAGCGCGCTCCCACCTAGCCAGCGGAAGGCGCTCAGAGCGCACGCGCGAACGCGACGATGGCGAAGGGAAGACAGGGGCAGCACACAATGAAAGGGCCCAGGGACACAACAATGAATACACACAAATCCCAGGATTCCCAATGTTTTCCTACATCTTCTGGGTTTTTGTCTTCCCCCCCCACTTCCCAGATTTTGCCGTATTTTCCTAGGAATCGACGATTCATTGTGTCTGTGTGTTTGTTTCCCTCCTGACACAAGCAGGAGCTGAACTCTCAGAAAGTCCTTGCGGCGCGCCTGGGCAAGAGCACCATTCAGCCCTTTCGCGTGGCGCGAAGTTTCCGACATTACTCATAATGATACCGGAGAAAAAAACCAATCCGAGTGTTTTCAGGGTTATGGGGCTATGGGGCTATTGGGTAATAGGGCGATGGGGCTATAGGGCTATAGGGCTATGGAGCTATAGGGCTATAGGGCCATAGGGATTTAGGTATACAGAGCAATAGGGCTATAGGGCTTCAGGGCTATAGGGCCATAAGGCTATATGACTGTAGGGCTATCGGACTTCAGGGCTATGGGACTATGGGGCTCTGGGGCTATGGGGCCATGCGTCTGTAGTATTATGGGGCTATAGGGCTATAGGATCATAGGGCTATAGGGCTATAGGGCAATAGGGCTATAGGGCTATGGGGCTATAGGCATATAGAGCTATAGGGCTATAGGGCTGGCTATAAGGCTATTCGGCTATAGGGCTATAGGGATGTAGGGCTATTGGGCTATTGGGCTATAGGGCCATAGGGCCATAGGACTATAGGCATGTAGAGCTATAGGGCTAGTGGGATATAGGGCTATAAGGCTATAGGGCTATAGGACAATAGGGCTATAGAGCTAGAGGTCTCTAGGGCTCTAGGGCGATAGGGCTATTGGGATTTAGGGCTATAGGCCTGTTGGGCTATGGGGCTATAGGGCTATGAGGCTATAGGGTTATAGGGCGATAGGGCTATATAGAGCTATAGGGGTATCGGGCTATAGGGCACCCGGGCGGGCCGCGGAAATCGGCGGCACACCTCACCTAACCATATGAACCCGCTGGGACCCCTGCAGAGGCAAACTCTGATTGGGGAACTGGCTCAAATCAGGCATGCGACGCGCCAAAGCGGGACCTCCACTTTCAAGCGAGATCTGCGCGGCGCTCATGGGCGAGAGCGTTAGTTCGCCCGCTCGCGCGCGGCCCCGCTTTCGCTTCCAACGACTGGGCGAGCGAACGATATGCGCCGCGCCCAAGTGCGAGCGAGCAATTCCAGGCGAAAGCTGCGCGGCTCTTTGGCGACATCGACGTTTCGCCCGCTCGCTCGCGACCCCACTGCCATCGAATTGTCGAACGAAAAATGAATGCAGCGCCAAGCGGGAGCGCACATAAATATGCAGGGCCCTGAAGCGGACAAAAACTACATTCCGCCCTTTCTCGCGCGATGTGTGCCGCATCCCATTTTTTCCACGCATTGTTGCAACGTCGGCGACAGAGCGTCCATGTTGAAAGGAACCCGTCGACGTTGTATCGCATGGGTCGAATGAGAAGGTCCCCGGTCCGACCCATTTCGGCCGCCAGGTCGCAGAGAGGAAGAACCTATAAAGAGTGCGGATGGGAAGAGGAGGAGGAGGAGGAGGAGGAAGAGGCGGAGCGTACCCAAAGGAGGACGAGGACCAGCGCTAAGCTAAACCGTGCAACCGAAATACGGGCCCAACAATATCAATTGGGCCGGACTCCGGGACTTGCCCGACTTGGAGTGGCGACCAGCCCGAATAACAGCTATAGCATGCGTCTACGTATACAGGATTGGCCCGTGCTCTGAAGATCCACGACAAGTCTCCTGAAATTGACAGTGAGCTACCTTGCCAACCTGACAGGAGCCGTATATGGTACAGACCATGGCCAAAGGGCTGAACATAAGCTGGTGCCCCTTGAGCTCGACGACTTCTTCAGAAACGGCCACGGAATCCTCTGGCCCATCTTTCGCCTGAGCGCCAGCCTGCAGGTCTTCAACAGCCTGTACAGGGTCAGCAAAATGCACAACAGTCTGCACAGCATGGGACCTCAAAGGAGGGGCCTGATAGAGCACCAAGTCGGCCCGAGCTTTGAGCCCCTCTTGGGCTGTTGGCTCACAAGGGGTCCCTAAGAACTTCCCAAGACTGGCCTGAGCAAGAGCAACCGCAAGGCACAACGTACATTGGAAAGCCTGGGGGGGCCCTTGGCCACCATACTGTGAGCCACTAGTCCTACTTGGGGCGGCTCAACCTCAGAATTCCTCAGAGGACGTTCAGGACGACCACTGCCCACACCCCGAGCAGCCATCGTGGCCGCTGCCCATACAAAGTACTTGGCCAGCGTACAAGCGTCAGACAAACGAGAAGTGCGTGACTGTGAGCTCTTTCTTGGCAAAGAAATCCGCCCACATGTTTCAGAGCACGCATTCCCACGACAAATTGTTGGTAACACCTTCGTCCAAACACCGCTCAGCCGTGAGATGTGATGGGCACCATACGAAATGCGGCGACCTTCTCCATCACGATACCTTGCCAACATGGAGCGCCAAATGTCAGCGTAGGGCATCTGAGCGTCAAGACCGCTGGTGAGACCAACTAATTCCCCTCTGGACGAGTCCCAGCAGGTCAGAAACAACAAGGTTGGTGAAGGGCAGGTGTCGGACAGCCTGGCGGACAGCAAACCACTCCGCCTTGCCAGGAGTCTGAATTGGCCCCCGTAGGGACCAATACAACGCACGAACAGGCATGCGATTGCCCCCCAACTGGATAACCGACCATCCACATCTCCGGAGTTCGGGCCAACTCGGGGCCATACGAGACCCGTCAGTAAAACATGTGGAATTCCAGGAACTTCTGTCTGCCCCCCAATCACCCCAGAACTCCACCTGCAAATTACCATTCAACATAAGGAGTCACGAGTGGACTCAAGGGCAACCCCACGGAAATCTCAAAGTGGTCCCAAATCCTGCTGTCCCGCTCCGGGCAAACCCTTGTATCGACGAAGAGGAGAGGAGAAGGAGGCGGAGGATGATGTGGACGAGCAGGAGGCGGAGGAAGAGGAGGAGGAAGAGGAGGAGGAAGGAGGAGGAGGAGGGGGAGGAGGAAGGAGGAGGAGGAGGAGGAGGAGGAGGAGGAGGAGGAGGAGGGGGGGAAGGAGGAACGAGAAGGAAGGGAGGAAGGCGGAGGAAAGAGGAGGAAGGAGGAGGAGGAATGAGAAGGACGGGAGGAAGGAGGAAGATGCGGCGAAGGCACCTGCCGGCCGGCTGCGCCGCCGGGAGTCCCGAGGCGGGCGCGCCAGGCAGCGCCGGGGGGCGGCTACGACCCCCCGAGGCCATGGTCGTCGGACGC